GGATCCTCCCGGAACGGGGCACGAACCCGCGTCCCCTGCACCGGCAGGCGGACCCCCAAGCACTGCGCCACCAGGGAAGCCCAAATTTCACTATTCTTTTTCAACTGCATGCCACTTTCACTTTTCCTCATTTTTGCCCAATTTTCATAATGACCTGCACATTTTGGGGGCATTTATAAAGTATACATCCTAAAAACCTTCTGCTGTGGCAGTTATATCAGAGCCCTCAGGACACTGGTTGCCTTTGTGTGTGTGTGTGCTGCAACTGTTATTCCTAAATCTCACAATTTTTCTTTCTTTGCACTTATCCTGGTTTGAATTTGGACGAAAGGCCTGGTTTGAATTTGGACAAAAGGGTGAGATTAGATACCATAGGAATTGTTCGGCTCTGATGTCATAGACTGAAGCAGGACTACACTTGAATCCTTTACAAAGGAATTAAGGGTGGAGGGCAAGAGATGAGGGAGAGGTGGAAAGGAAGCACTCCTAACAGGAATGACAAACTTTTTTGCCACTAATCACTGCAGACATCTGCATGCAAACCTCCCTGGTACAAAAAATAAGAAGGTAGCAATAATGTGAACATCTCTATCAATGTCTTCTATTTAAAAACAGTGATCAAAAAGCAAATGCCAGTCTTGGCTTTCTCTTAGAAACAAATGATTCTGAGGTGATAGAACAGAGGAAACACAACATTCCAATTTTCTCAAATAAAGTATGAAGGGTGCTGGCTGCTGCAGAGTAAGGGAAAAGGTTATATACAGTTCATTTAAAGTTTAGAATATGACCACTTGTCCTATCTTACTATAGTTGTATAGGTAATATTTTTTAAATGTTTCAACCCTTCTTTTATTCTTTTAAGGGTAATTCAGTGTGTGTGGACATGTGTATGTGTGTGTTGAGAATATGGAAGGTTTTTTCACTGTGCATTTCTGTGGCTTTGGCCGTAATTTTTAGGCACTAATTATGTTGCTGTTACTAAGCTGGTGTAGGAATACACTGCCCCAAATTTGCTCTTTTTGAGAGCAGCAAATTAAGAAGGGGTAGGCGGACCAGGGAAAGGTGATCTAAATTACATAACATTAGCATAAGTCACGCAATATTGATGGTATGCATGTTAAACTACATATACATGTAACATCTCAGAGTCAAGGAATAAGTCTTTAGTAGTTTCCAAAAAAACACTAGCTTTCTTATGTAGAAAAGACAATTACTAAGCATAATTCTAAAAGTTACCATATCAAATACATGGCTCTTTTTGTAAAGCATCACAGTAATCTGAAAAAGAATTATTCATATTTTTCAAATAAACACAAAATAAACCAATTAATTCTGAATAAGTAGTAACAACTTTATTTTAACTCAATGTGCTGAAATGCAAAAAATATTTTCAGCAACAAGATACAAAAAGTATGTATCTCATCATTGACATCAGCTGATTAAAAATGAGGCTGAAAAGTTCAAAATGTCTTTATACATTTGAATCTTGAACATCAATTTGCCCCAGAACTGATTTTTAAGTAATTTCAGCAGAATTTTACTTTCAAAAATGGGACTCACTTAAGTTATATCTTCAGTCTAAAAAACTGAACGCAAAAATTAACTGGGTTACAGTATACAAGGATAAACCCTTAACAACAGAAAAAGATTTAAATATAAGAATTCTTTTTTCAAACGTAAAGTCCACATACTGCAAACAGAAGACACAGTGTGGTGATTTCATTCCTAGTGAAGAAGTCTCGCATGGTAGGCACTCAATATTCGTTCAACTGGACCTAAAATTTACATCATTCCATTTAACACTTAAATAAACTAGAGCTCACAATCTGTATAAAAGAGGTTTGCAAAATACTCTTATGTGTGTTGAAAGTGCTGTCTTTATAATCTGAAAAACACTAAAACCCAACCATCCACGTTGTTTTGCAAGAATACATTGAATATTTTCATTTTATCCATCAAAGAGCATGAACATCCAACTCCGAACAATTCACCTCTTCAAGTCTACTTGGCTTTGAGAAAAGCTTGAGTTGGATTTTAACAAAACAACTTACTGAAGTCCCTAGTGTTCTATTTTAGTAACACTGGGTAGCATCTATGATCCACAATTTTATAAACAATTCTGCTTAGGTTTTAAATTTATGCACAAAACAAATGGGTAAATAAATTAATAACTATACTTTTGGCAATTTAAGCTCTAACTTAGGTCTCATTTAAAAATAAACCAATAATGTTCATGACAACTTTTTAAGAGATCTTTGTTAATATTTTAAAACTTAATTTTAAAATTGATGTCCTTAAAAGGCACTGTTTTCACATTTCATCATGCAGTAAATTGGTCACATTTTTGAGAATTATAATTTCCTCTCAATTGTCCCCTCAAATAAAGCACATTTAAATGGAATACATTTCAACGAATCTAAACTTTCAACATTTAACTGAGTTCTATTTTCAGAAATTCACTCTTTTGAACATACCACACACAAGTCCAAGCAAATACAAGTACATGTACACACACACGCGTGCACGCACGCACACACACATGCCCAAATGACCACAGAATACATGCAAGAATCTCCAATTACTATTTCAAGACAATGACACATGAGTATTCAAGGAGGTAACAATGGCAGGCCATAATGTTATGGCACCTTCATATCTGTGCTCCAAATACCGATACACACTAATATTAAAAAATGAAAAAGGCACAAATACAGTGTTTCTGTATCTCAATCTAAAGAACAGTTCTCCAATAGTTACTTTTATAATATGGAACATTTAAGACCAGTTACTACATTTCTAAGAAAAAGCTCTGTTTAGGTGACAAAAGGGAAACAGGAGCAGGCTTTACTTCAAAAGGCAACACTGCTCAGGACAGAATCTGTGCCTACTGAAAACAATGTCTGTAGTTTAAAAATGAAAAAAAAAAAAGTTATTAGAGCACTCACGTCAGAATACATTAATAGTTTTGTATCATTGTCTCAAGAACCCACAATACCAAAAATATACATAATAAATAAAAAAAATAAACCAACTACCATATGATTCTGTTAGTATAATGGTAGGAATTATATTATCTGAAAAGTGGACATTTCTACAAATGTGGATATTCTTACAGCACAGTGTTGGACGTTTTTGGTACAAAATGTGCTACCAAACTAAAAAAAAAAAATCTTTATAATAAAACCCTTCAGATTTGCAACAAACACTAAAGTAAGTATGTAAGTTAGGGTAAGCTGAAATGTTCATTATAATAGGTGTTATCACTGAAGTCACTATGGTTAGAAATGTAGATCCAAGCAGTGAATTAATTCAGAATGCGCCTGTGTGCATCTGACATAAATGAATACACCAGTATTTTTTTAATATATGACAACAAAATTCTAGGGCCTGTGGGATTAATTTTTGTTTTCTTCTAAGACCCTGGCAAAATCTCAAATTCTTAAAGTGTATATGCATGTGTGTGTGGTTTCTCTTTTAAAATGCACATTTTAAATTTAAAGGGCTCAATCTTATGGTGAAGTTAAGGAAGTGAATTTCTGCTCCCTATAATACTCTTACATAGGATGGAATCCATTCATACGTAAGAATGTTTCTTCTATCCGAAGGGAGTCTTCCAATTTCAAATTTAGGTTAACACAACAAAGACTCAAGCTACACAGGAAAAAATGAAGATATCTGAAAATATGATCTTTCTGAACTCCAGTTTGATGTGGATAACAAATGATTATTTGACAGTGTTTGTTCAATGTAAATATGAATCACTCTTGGTATATTAGGATTGCTTCGGTAAATACCTAACAGACAGATAACAAAAATAAAATCTATTTTAAAACTTCATGCTTCATCTTTTTCCTTTTGTCCTAAATTCAAAAACTAAATAAACGAATTATACAAATTTTAATCTGGAGAATAAAGTTATATATGTAAATATATAGGTATATGCATTTTTTTTCCAGTGAAAAAAATTTTTCCCTTGTGGTCAAATGTAAATCTTGCCTAAGAAGCATACTGCCACTGTCACAGGAAATCAGATGCAGTGACTTGACACTGATTGCTCCTGCTTCACCAGGACAATGCACCAGAACAGACTTCTGTTGTAAACAGAGCTATCAAAAACTGAAGATGTGTATGTGTTTAAAGCTAAAATTCATTTATAATAAAGAACTGGCCTGTGAAAAGCAGTTTATAAATAGTTTATCCTGTTCACATTATGCAGAATTTCACTATCATCCACAATGTTGGTACAGTAACTGAGACAGAAAGGAGAAAGCTAGGGAGGAAAAAAGGTTTCAGAGTGTAGCCTGACGTATTTCTAAGGGTTCTCTCCTTTAGTCTGCAAATAATAGCAGTTCATTGCTTTTAGAAGGAGAGTAGGCTGTCCAGGATTCATTTACTGTCAGGTGCCTTCTCCAAAGCGTGATAAACAGGTGTGAATTCAATAATGAATATCTGGAAGTCAAACCAATTTAACTATAATCGAGAATATCTTCCTTATCTATTATCACAAACATCCCAGTTGCCTCCATCTGTCTTAAAAATTCTTTCAAAAGTTAAGACAATTAATTATACCTTATCAATTCTCTCAAAAGCAAAAAAAAAAAGTACCATTCAGTATTAAAAAGTTACACATTAAAAGTGCATATATATCTTCTTAATTGGCCCACTCATTAAATTTACATTTGGTCATCCTTACTTTTAACATGTACAGAATTCTTCATATAAATGTAGGTCACTATAAATTAAAAAAAAATTAATTCAGCACAAAACATGCTTTCTTCTTATTGAAATCTTAACCTCAATCAGTTCTCAATCATTGTAAACTTGGATAAACTCACAAAGAAACACAAGCAAAGGTTTGTTATGCTTCTCTTAGTTTGTTGGACAGATAACATACAAACTCTACAAAGTTCACTAAAAATTTGGGCCAACTCATTGCATATTTGCCCCCTGAAATGAAAAATAAATTAGAATTGAAGCAGTGTATTGCCATAACTTACCTTGAAGGTAAGCAGGTTCTCCTGTATTTATAGAACTTAGACTGGAGACGTTACCAGTAATCTCCAATACAAGTGCTTTTTTAAGGAAAACCTAGTTTTAAACTTTGAGATAGCATAGGACAAACCCTGTAATATTCATTTGCCTTTCTCAAACTAATGGAAGATCCTTTTGAAACTTATTATCTTCAGTTATCAATATTACTGCATTATGGAGCTAGTGCAATCCTGCATAGCCTTGGTCACAATGACAAGGCACAATAAAAAAATTAAAGTATATATATGAACAAGAGAAGTCACTGAAGATAATTTAAGGCCTTGAAGTGAATTAGAGTATAATCAGTCTAATTTAAAGCTGAAGAATAAACCATAAATTATCCACCTGAAATTCAAGCAATATGCTTTCTCAGCTTCTGTTCTGTGGACAAGACAACAGAAACAACTCTTGCTTATGGTTTGTGTATTAGAATCCTTCTGGACCTGGAGGAGTAAAAGTCAGTTCCATTTTTCTACAGTTCATGGAAGATTTCAAGACTGTTTTAGCCGTTTTCGTGGAATACCAAACTGTGGACACTGTGCAGATGCTAGTGCTCGGAAGGCTTCTGCTACCAAATGTGGGTGAGACTGAATCATGGACTTCCACCCAGATGTTTCCATTATGTCTGCTGCTTGGCTGAAAAATAAAATTAAGAGATGTTTACTAAAGAGTACTTTTCAAAATGCACTGTTGCACTGTCAATTTTTTTTTTTAATTTACAGATTTCAAAATGTTTTGGAACATTTTGTTTGCCTCTCTATGTATTCAAACCATTTGAATTCATTAAAATATCATCTTTACCTTCCTGGTATTTTCTTTTGTAAATGAAACTATTCAATTTTTCTGGAAATTCTACTCTTGGAAGTGTGTGACACTTGCCTGCATAGTTCTACTCCCACTGTTACCATTTCTATACCTGCTCTTCCAAGAGCTCTTTTCCCTGGCTCTTACATGCAGGTTTTCTCTAGAGTTCCAAGTTTTGCCCTCGACTCTTCTCCCTTAACATTCTTTACTTATCTTATCTCATCCACTATTCACAATTTTAACTATCATATTCAGTGATGATAAATAATGATTTGCTAAGTCCTAGGCCTCCCCACAAAGGTTGTTCCCAACCACTTGTTCTCTTTACTTGGATGTGCCTGGAGACCCATAAATTTGGGACTGTTGGAAGGGAACTCAACACGTTTCTCCCAAGGCCCAAATTCTTTCTCTCTCATTTCCAATCAGCTAGTGCTTCCACCATCACCCAGTGATTCAAGTCAGAAACCTGGAAGTCACCCTAGATGCCATCCTTTCCAATCAGTCATCAAAGCCCTATTTTAATTCCCAAAGGTATCCTGAATCCCTAGTTAAGGCCCACATCATCTCACATTTGAATTATTACGGGAGTCTCCTAATTTGTCTTCTACTCTCCTATCTTGCTCCTCTCAAACCAGCTTCCATGCTGCCTTAGTAACATGAACACTAACATGAACACATCCTCTTCTACTCTTCTCCGGTGCCAGTACACAAGTTCTTTAGAAAGAGAAATAAAGTTTCCTAGTTCTTCCCCCTAGCTTTCTACCTCCCACTTCCATGCTCTGGCACTTTGTATAATAATACTGAACTGTTTATTATACCTGATGTACAACATGCTCTGAGTAAATACAATTACCCAAACAAAAAACCTAGTTATCCTTCCTTGTCTCCTGTCTTCTCTCCTTTGTAACTACCCTCCATCCAAATAATATCCAAGTATTATAGATTGTCCATTCAAAATATTATATCCTTTTATTTCCCTCTGGCCGCACTGTCGCCAGTCAAGTCTAATTTTGCCCTCATCTTTTGCCTGAAACACTCCAATAACTTTCCAACTGGTCTACCTATGTATAACCTTGCTCCTCACTACCACCACCAACTCAACCTCCCCACAACCATGCATGTGGAGACATTGCTACAAACACACACCTGATCACATCCTACTCTAGGTTAAAACCCTTTACTATATGCCCATCCCTGTTCGAATAATGTCTAAAAGGCCTTCCGTGATCTGATCTTTGCTTTCTTCCTCCAGCTTCTCATGCCCCACCCTCCAAACTGTTCTTTCTTATCACCGAAACTTTGCACACCTGAATATATTTTTCGGGATATACTTTCCCACCTCTTCGCTCTTCTTCATCAGGTCTTTATTTATACAACAATTCTTCAAAAGGGCTTTCTCTGACCCCTAGATTAGGTTCGGTCCCTTTGCTATATGCTCAGATGGGTATGCTCTACATTACCTATTATTACACTTAACTTCAACTACTTGTTTAATTCTTATACATCTCCTGCTAAAACATGAACTCCATGAAGGCAGGGAAAACACCTGTCATGTTCGCCATTACATTCTTTGTACTAAGCAAGCACAGTGCCCTGGGAATTCACTGGATAATAAACATAAATATCTATCAAACGATTGATCAACTATTGCTTCATGTGTTTATACTTTGATTCAAGCTATGCTGTCTGCAATACTTGTTATTTCCTTCCTAGTTTGCTAATTCCTATTCCTGTTTTAAGACAAGCCTCAGTCATCTTCATCCCTAAACCTCCAGCCTTAGTCAAGTGTCCTGCACATAACCTTCTTTATCACATTACTTACCATATTATAATAAAATGATATATTCATGGATGTGTTCCTATCATTAGATCAATTTCTCAAGGACAGGATTTTTCTCCATTTGTTTTTATATGCAGGACCCCAGCATGATGCTTGAGACACGATAGATGCTACACAAATGTTTGCTTCACTAAATAGCAGCTAATAACAATTTTTAAAAAAATTTGCCTAACATCCAATTACCAGTGTGTCGTCATGTTTATAATTTCAACTTGTTTAGAATCACACAGATACTTCTTAATTTACCCGACATTTTCATTTATTTAATTCAACAAATAGCTATTGAAGGTCTCTACGTACAATACAGCTTCTACACGGGATATAAAATAAGCTTATATTTTTTGACATTGAAAAAGCTATACAAGGCAAAATATTTTCTTAACAGAATAAAACTAGAGCTTGAAAGTGGCAAAGTACAAAGAATCACAAAACAGTCATTTGATTTTTTTCTAGGATCACATACCCTGAAAATGTATTATCACACACTGACCAATATATAGAATAATCAATATCTTAAAAATAGCCACTAATTTTTACTTTCATAAAACAGAATTCACAAACTGTTAAGAATTCAGTTAACCAACTTCAAATCTATCAAAACAGATGAAAGCAAGGGGCCATAAATCAAACATTCATTTTCTTGTCTCTAACGCTGCCTTTTTTTACTTTCTTGTATCAACTTTTGATAAATTGCAAAAATGGAGTTTAAGGGTTTACAGGCAAAAACTAATCAAAAGCAGATGCAAATCTTCAACCTCCTGACTCCTGATACTGAATAATCGCAAAGAGTAAAAATTTCACTCTAAAAATGAGTGAAGGGCTTCCCTGGTGGCGTAGTGGTTAAGAATCTGCCTGCCAATGCAGGAGACACGGGTTTGAGCCCTTGTCCGGGAAGATCCCACATGCCGTGGAGCAACTAAGCCTGTGCGCCACAACTACTGAGCCTGCGCTCTAGAGACCACGAGCCACAACTACTGAAGCCTGCGCACCTAGAGCCCGTACTCCTCAACAAGAGAGGCCACCGCAATGAGAAGCCCACGCATCGCAACGAAGAGTAGCCCCCGCTCGCCGCAACTTGAGAAAGCCCGTGCACAGCAACAGCAACAAAGACCCAACTCAGCCATAAATAAATAAATAAAATGAGTGAAGAAGAAAAAAGAAGGGAATAATAAATTCTAATAGTTACGTCATATTCCGAAGATCCAGGCTTAGAAAGATGTTTCAACTACCCTGCTCATTATAATCTACCAGGGAAAGGAAAGATCAAATTGCTACTATTTCTGGAATGGCAGGCAGTTAGCCTAATATAGCATGTGATGCAAGTTATCTGGCTACCTTAAGAAGCAGTGGGTTAGCGTTCAAATGTCAAGAGTTTCTAGGCAAATATGGAGGGTACATTTCCTCATAGGATAAAATAAATATTTCCCACATTTATAGAAATACTTTCTGAAGGGGCAAGGGCAGGATCTCCAGCCACTGAAATACCTGGACTCAGCTATACACTACATGAACATACATGCTTAAGACATTAGAGCGTCCATCCCAATTCACATTAGAAGCTGATCTACAACAGAGCATAGCCTCAAGAATCCACTAAGTAGTCAAATTATTATTTTTTAAACTGGCAGTTTGCTTCATATAACTAATATCTGGATTCATACTTATTGTAGATGAACAAAAGGCTATGCAAACACTTAATTTCATGTATGCAGATCAACTTTAAGTCAGAAACTGATGTCATCTTACTTGCTGTTCCAGTTTTTCCCATCTTTACACCCAAGCTGTCGAAGTACACTGCACCTGCATTGAAGATTTAAAAACACTTAAGAAAAAGACCGGTGAAGAATTGTTGAAGGTGTCATGTCCACTGAAATACAAGCATAGCTTACCTATTAATAAAGTCTATGGCTTGTGCTTTCAACTGTTCCGCACTGTGCAAATCTGCAAGGACAAGGGTATCAGCAACATTTTCTACTGAGAGGTTACTACACAAAGCTTCTTCACACATGACCTTCAGCCGTTCCAGTGCATACTATCCAAAAGGAAAACATAACATTAAACATTTACTCAAACTAGCAAGTTTTTAAATACACGATATTTGTAACTTAGAAAATGAAGTTTAAGCCCATTACACATTGAACTGAGGGTACTTTAAAAGTCTTTAAATTACTTTAAATATAAAGAAAGTATGCATTAATGCATTCAAGAGAAAGACTAATTTTTCTTAAGAAATTTCTATTTGCATAAGTGCAAGATACAGGCTATTTTTAAAGTAGGGTTTTATTCTTTAAAAACCCCTTATTACTCAATACTCTTAATGAGTAGATTTCTCTTTTCTACTATTTTAAACACCAGTCAGTACACTGCATGTTGTCACTACTTAATTCTGAAAAATAAATTATAAAGCTAAACAAATCATATTCATAACCATTAAAAACTTAGTATATGTTATCAGAACATCCTTGGCAATTTATTGAGGTAAAATTGACATACAATAAGTAGCACATATTTAAAGTATATACTTTGATAAGTTTATACAGCCATATAACCATCATTAAATCAAGAGAGTGGATATATTCATTACTCCCCAAAGTTTCCTTCTCTCTCTGTAACCCTTCTTCCTCACCCCACCCCAGGCAATATCTCTGATGTGTTTTCTACTGCTACAGTCTGCATTTTCTGAAGTCTTCTATAAATGGAATCATACAATTTGCATTTGTTTTTGTCTGGCTTCCACGCATTGTAATTATTTTGAGATTCATGCATGTTGTTGTCTATGTATCAATAGTTCTATGCTTTTTATTGCTCAATAGTATTCCACTGATCTATCGACAAACATTTGGGTGTTTCCAGTTTTTAGCCATTACAAATAAAGCTGCTATAAACATTCATATACAAGTCACTGTATGGGCATATGCTTTCTTTTCTGTTGAGCAGAGACCTATAAGTAAACTCGCTGAATAATATGGTAAGTGTAAAACTTTAAAAAAATTGCCAAATGGTCTTTCAAAGTGGTTGTATCATTTTACATTCCCATTAGCAGTATATGAGAGTCCTAATTTTTCCATATCCTTGACCATACTTGGTATGGTCTTTGTAATTTTAGTTATTATAATATAGTTACAGAAGTATCTCACAGTGGTTTTAATTTACACTACCCTAATGTGGTTGAGCACAAGAGAGGCCGCGACAGTGAGAGGCCCGCGCACCGCAATAAAGAGTGGTCCCCACTCACCGCAACTAGAGAAAGTCGTCGCATAGAAACGAAGACCCAACACAGCCAAAAATAAATAAATAAAAATACAATTTGCTAAAAAACAAAACAAAACAAAAAACAGAAACAACCCCCAAAGTTGTTCATCAGATATATGCTTTGCAAATATGTTCTCCCAGTCTGCGGCTAGTCTTTATTTTCCTATGTCTTTTGAAGAAAAGAAGTTTTAAATTTCACTGAAGTCCAATTTATCATTTTTCCTTTTATGTATTATGTTTTTGGTGTCATAGCTAAGAAGTCTTTGCCTAATGTAAGATTGTGAAGACTTTCTCCTATGTTTTCTTTTAGAAGTTTAAGATTTTTAGGTTTATAATCTATTTTGCGTTACTTTTTGTATATGACGTGAAGTTCGCATACTAAGTTTTTTCAAATAAGTTCAACCACAGTTTATCTGTTTGGACATAGGCTATCCAACTCCTATAGCACTATTTATTGAAAACACTATCCTTTCTCCACTGAACTATCTTTACACTTTTATCAAAAATTAAGTAGTCATACATCTGAGTCTATTTCTGTACTCTATATTCTGCTTCAATGAGTTATTTGTCTATCTTGTCACCAATACTATGCTGTCCTAAATACTGAACCTTTATGACTCCTCCACTTTGATCTTCTTTTTCACAGTTATCTGACTATTCCAGGTCCTTGCACTTGCATATAAAATTTTTAAATCAGCATGTCAATTTTTCCCCTGCAAAAGCATGCTAGGATTTTGACAGTGACATGTTTGTTCTACTAATCAAAGGAGAATTGACATTTTAACAATGTTAAGATTTCTAGTCCATGAACGAGTTTTTTCTCTCCATTTATTGAGGTCTACCTTAATTTCTATTAGCAGTATATTATAATTTTCAGCATACAGGTCTTGAACATATTTTGTCAGATTTATGCCTACGTATTTCAAATTTTTGACTCTATTATAAAGGCATTTTTACATTTAAATCTTTATTGAGATAGCAATATACACTTGGCCCAGTTTCTCCCAATGGTAACATTTTTCAAAATGAGTATAATTATCACTATATATACATATACATATGTACATACACACACACACTTACATACACACACAGACAGAAGTGGCATGGACATTAATACTTTTGGAGAAAGCTCCCAAAGTGCTTTAGTGCTTTGAGGATTGAGAACTACTGGCTTTGAGATTTCCTGAAATTTTTGTAGTTCCCCTACCTTCAGGAAATCACCATTATAAAAGAACATTATAAAATTAACATTTTTTTTTCTCTATACTCTTATATTAAAAAAGAAATCTGTGAATACAAGATTAAATTAGAAAAAAATACGCAATATTTTTTTCCTTTTTTTAGACAAAGGTCATGCACTGTATCTTAACACTAAGAATATCTCAAAATTGCAATAGATTATATATGCTATTGTGTGTGTGTTCTCATAAAACAGGGTAATGATACACTCAAAACTATTGAGTCTACAGTTAATCTGCCATTTCTGTAAATTGGCTTAAGATATTTTTATGTCTTACTGATTTAAAAAAATTTCATTTCTATATTATCCCACTGTGTGCTATTTCATAATACTCTCAAGAGCCATCCACAAACAGTATAAATTAGTTCAATATTTCAAGTTGTTGGGGGTTCTCATTTGATGATAGTTTTCTAGATACATCAAGCTTGAGGACATTTTTGAGCTCTTTAAGACCGAATTACTTACTTTGTCTGCAGCTGCCAACAAGTTGTCAGCCATTTTGTCAAGATTTGGCGCTTTCCCTGTGTAAATGAATCTCATCATTTCTTTAAAAACCTCAGGGTCTACATCATTTATTTCCACTCGATTCTGGTATTGAAAACAAACAAACAAAAGTTATATTTCAAGAACACACACATACACAAATGAACCAAAACAAAACTGACAGCAACTTAAAAGCCCCAAGGTGTATTTTAAAATTGAGGTAAGTAAATCTTCAGTAAGCTAAGTAAGCAGGCAAAGTGAAGCAGGCAGATCTAAGAGAAGTACACCAAGTCAAGCACTACCATGTAGGAATATAAACCCCAATTTCTCAGTTAAAAAGAGTTCAAACAAAAACAAAAAAATCTGTAAGGCCAAACTAAATACATCTGAATTCAGTTTCTGACCTCTATCTTAGAAGAACATGGTTATTAACCTGTTTTGTTGTTGAAAAGAATTAGGTGGTAATACAATGCCTAAGACCCAATAACCAACCACTGGTTCTAGACCAAGCTTTAAGCAAAGGTAAGGTCAGGTATTTGAGAACATACCAGAGCCCACTACCTCAGAACTCTCCTACAAAAACGGCATGTAATATTATCTACGGGCACCTCACCTCTTTACTTGAGACACACTCAAGTCCAAAGAGGACCAGCTGCTTTTTTACTCCTGTATCTTTGTATTTGGTTTCTCTCCTGTGATCAATGAAGCTAAACAGTTAACACTAGACAATACCAAACTTTTCTGACCCTTTGATGACAATAACATCTGACATCATTGATCAGAAGACTGATCATACTACCTGCCCACACCAATAATCAAAGGAAAGAAAGAAGCTACTTCATTGCAGCTTCTAGTTCTGCAGGGAGAATAAAGCTGAGACATATAAATAAACTCAGGAGTTGCCTAGTTGGAGCAATAAGGCTCACATGTAATGCAACCCGCAAAAATCAACCTCTGGTCTTTAATCTGACTACATTTCAAGATGATAGGTGAAAGAGAAATATCTGAGAAAACCAATTAGGTAATATCTTGATTACAATTCATGCATACTAATAATGACATAATTTATGTCCTTTATTAAATCCAATAAATATCCTCTTATTATAGTGGTAAAAAGAATGTAGGAATTGTCTTTGTTCTAGAAATCAACTCAAAGTCTAGAAAGAAGGAATATACATCTTAACTGGAGAACTCTCAAATAGTTATGGACCAGTACAGTCCTTTTGGACAGCTATCCTTTTGGATAACAACTACCCACTTATTTTGCTACCAGAAGGGTGCTGAAATAGCTGTTATGTGGAATATTCACCCACAGTAAGCTACATCTATTTTTCTATGATAGAACATATTTCCCCCCATCCTTCTATTTCTTTCTAAAATCATAATAAGAAAATGCACCTTTACTTTTAAAATATACTTTCCACTATTCTACATTTGTACAAATATTAGCCCTTTAAACCATGTTTACCTTTTTGCTTTCTTCCATTTCATGTTCAAACATTGCATTAAAAACTGGGGATCGAGCTGTAACAAGATTAAGCATCATTATTTAGTGTACAAATTTATGAAAGAAAGGTACTATATGACCCAAAAGTAGAAAGTACCTGCAAGTACAGATTTATGAGCTTTAAATTCTTGTCCTCTCACGAAAAAACTGCAATCTGTAAATCTTGTGTTTTCCCAGAGATTACCTAAATCATCTGCTAGTCGACATTCAGGCACCTTTAAAGTATTTGTATTAGTATGTCCTGATATATTTACTGAATCTTGGACCACACTCACCTAATAAAAAAGGGACAGCAAGAAAAAACACTTTTATAAATTAATATCAATAATAAGCTACTAAGTCTAAACTTAAACTTATCGTTAAAATCATGCAGAAAATTCAATGTACTCCTGATCAAAAATGGTAATACTTGGGAACTGAATTTAAGGACACAACTTAAAGGAGAGAAATAATATAGAAAAAAATTGAAACGAACTAGATCATTTTAAAGTGATATTTTATGTAAATAAATGGCTTAATGATTCCTTGGAATGCTCGGCTACTAATCACAAAAAGTATTTCTCAGCAAGAAAAAAGTCATAATATGATTCCAAATTCAAACAAAGAGAAGGTATTTTTGTGAGGAGAAATAAATTTCTTTAATTTTTATTTCCTCACACTACAGACCTATCAACATTTAAAGTTTATTATACATTCAATAAACACAGCATCACACTTATGACTTTTTAGAGTATTTTAAAATGTTTTTAAAACTACAGACTACAATATGCAATTTGGGAAGTATTTTAAGTGTTGTCCCTATATGTTTCAACTCTAAACAAATTGATTTAAATATCTAGTAATATTGATTTAAATTTTAAAGTATAAGAATTCTCACAAAACCAATGTAGTTATTAATGTTCATGGAAATCTTTTATTTAAAAAAATCAACAGTAAGAACAATATAAATATAATTTAATTCGATTTGCAGACCTTTTATTTACCTGTGAAATAATCAATAAATAAAACTTGGTATGACTGCAACATTGCTTTTATATGGAGTCCAATATATATGGATTAAATTATCTCTCAGATGACTACATACTGAATAAAGTCTTAAAACACTACTAAGTTTGGCACACTAATTTTTTAGGAAAAGGAATATACTATTACTAGGAATTTATTACATTTAATAAATTGAAGAAAATACTACCTCAACTAGTAAATCAAATGTGTCAAGAGTAAATGAACCATCTTTCACAAAAAGTGCTATATTAGTTATCTACTATTTCAAGTTACTAAGTTTTATTGTTGTTTGTTATGCAGCAATAGATGACTGTGTTCATTTAAAAACGTATTTCATAAGGCTTTTGTTAATTAAAAGTAAGTATAAGTAAGGACAAATACAGTAAACTATGTAGAAATTGTAAATTGGAAATGGATAAATTGGACCAAACTACTGACATGCTAAGAAGTATAATGGGCCAATATAAAATGTTTGAAGAATATTAAATCTCATTAGTCCTCACTCACCCAGATGTAATAACATCTATCTCATATGAAAGAATAGACGCCTTGTAAAGAAAACTTTATTTTCTGAGGATATTTTTATTAACCATTTTGTTTGTCTGCTTTTATTAACCTTTTGGAATCACACATCATAGGAATCATCTAATCCAATCACCTCATTTTTTAAAAAAAGTTTGAAACAGTGAGATCCAGAGAAGGTAACTAAAGTGTCCTAAATCCACTGCTAGTCAGTATCAAGGAAGACTAGACCTACATCCCTTTTTATAGCATTCTTTGTATTAGACAGTATTTCTTTGGATTTTTAAAGAAATTACTAGTACGTTAATGCAATTATGGTTCTGAAGGGATTTATCACAACAATCTTCTGAGATGTTCTTCTAAATATAGGAGCCAAGACATTGTGCACATAAATAAGTTTATGAATAAAGATTCTTCTATTAAGTTTTTAATTATTCAAATTGTTTCTAAAATTTTACAAACTACAAAACAGAAAAAAAAAGCTTCACTAATCCTTACCTTATTGCTCTGTTACACCATACATTATAACTTAACGATACATAAATCAAAAGTGTTGGTATTAATATTCAGGGTTTAGTTAGGATCACAAAGACAGTGTTTACTTGTTCATATCAGCACTGCTCTTGAAATTTCTAGAGAGCAGAAACTGGATTAAACCGAACAGTTCAATTACTTGCATAAAGTATGCAGTGGAGTCATGAAAATGTGACCATATTATTTAAATTTAGGAAAGGATTTCTTCAATTCTACTTATTGTCTAATTATCTTAATTCAAAACAATATATTTAATGTAAAAATTTTACAAAAATCAGGTGATAGAAGGAAAAAAGGATCAAAAAATAAAGCCATTATTATCGGGCATAGATACTGATGATGATATATTTGTACTCTGTATATATAATCACAATTCAGAAGAATTTATATTATTGGCATACACATCTACATACTATTATCACAGCAACCACAAATTTTAAGTAAGACATAATTAACATTTCATATTCTGAAGAGTATTCAAGGAACTATTTATAGAGCAGAAATTAATGATCTAATTAAAACTGATATGCAATGAATTCTGATGATTATTTTCTTTGATACCTATAATTAAGAAATTGGTAAAATTTTCATTTTTTTCTAGTACATATTCAAATATAGGTAATGAACATTCTTACTGAATGGAAGCTAGAGTAAAAAATTCAGAAGAAAGGCTGAGATTCTTTCCTGAGGTTAAACTGTTGTTCTTTCAAAATAAAACAGCAAATGCACAATACTCAAAACTGACAACGTAAAACCTCAAACTCATTTGACAGCTCTTTTTCAAATTTGCTTTTGGATCAACTCTGAGAATATAATTTAGACTAAGGATGAACATGTGCAGGCTCTAATCAGCTGTGACTTCCCTGGAAATCTGGGACTACTGGTTCCTATTTTTAAAACTACCAATTCTCTAAACTAATTCTGAAGGCTAGCTATGAATATCCAAAGGTGCACAGTACTACAAATTTTGCCACTCTAATCAACTACCTAACCATCCCTTACACTGGCTCCAAAGTGAGAAACTTTTAGTAGTCCAATTTCATATCATCTTCTAGAATACTGGGTCTTAGACTTTCTGGCTTTCATAGACAGGTATCCTTTTTTAGAATGCAGATGATAGAAATCGGGTTGTCAGTTTTCCATTTTGTCATTTTTAGAGAATAAAACCCAACTTCCATCCACTATCAAAAGTATTTTAAAATAGAAAGGTTAACTTAGCAACAGAAAAATAGGAGGGAAAAAAGAGTCCTTCTAAATGAATTAATTTAATTTTATGAACAATTCATTACATATATTCTACCTGTATATATAGTCTTCTGTATACCATAGAATAGCATGGGTTTTTGGACCATAAGATTATTTAAAATCTGCTGGATTCCAAAAGATAAAGCAATTTAACCAATTTTCTATTTTTCCTACTAATTCCTCAATTCCTGTTTTCTGCATCACTTTGGGAGAGAAGGGGCAGAACTGTTTACACTGCCAGAAACTTCTACCTCTGGCTATTTGACTCATAGTATGGAACTTGCAAGATTATTTATGTCTTGCACCAAAGGGTAGCACCAGACTGCCTTACCTGTCTACAGCACCACTTGCAGGGGAGGGGAGGAGGCAGTTCTTTAGGTAGGCCAGTGCAATGCTTCCTCCTCTTCTGCAAGCAGTGCTGGAGATGCTGTAGAAGGAAGGGCATCAGTGAGAGGTACGGAAGAAAGAGGGAAAGGGCACACGGAATGTTTGTTCAAAGCACTTTTTGCCCACCTATGTTAAATACAGTGCCCAGGGTATAAAGGTCTACATCAGTAAAGGTATGTATTACAGTATCCAAAACTGAATTTGATCAATGTCAACTTAAAATATATGTCATGGTGGGTTCGATTTTTAGGAGGTCACTAGCTTGTATAATTTAGCATGTGAATAAAAAGTATACTTCAAAAACTTGTATCAGAAAAAGATCTTAATTTCAGCCTTCATTCTGAACTTTTTGGTTGTCTAGGTTCCAATAAAATATACTTAGGGAAATATACTTAGTAAACAATATTTCAATTCTAAAAAAAGAAATATTTTCTTAAAATGTTTATTCACAAAAAGACTTTTAGCCGCAGTAGTTTTTTTTCTTAACTGGATTACACAACCTTTCAGATCCTTTAAATTCTAAGATTATGTGATCACAAAAAATTAACATGCTGAAATTTAAGATAACTGCTAAAATTATGAAAAGATTCTACATTAAGAATGCTTAAATAAAAAATAAGAATGCTTAAATAACATAACCTACAATTATTTAGAATACTAAGAGCATCTTATCTATTGGCAACAAATGCTTTAGTATATATTTTTATCAAATTATTTAATGATAAGCTCTGCTCAAGACACTTGCGGTATGTGCTTTATCAACCAAATAATTGTATTCATAACAAATTCATCATACAGTTCATTTAACTTGTCTAAGTGAAAAAAAGATGCACTATATTTGCACTATGTAGTCTCTGGGGCCATATTTCAATTATTCTTCTGACACAGTATAATATATAATTAGTTTGTAAATCTTGCCAAGAAATTTTACACATTTTCTATATAAAGAGTAAAGCTACCTTAGTAGCAGTTAAGGAAGTTATTGTGCTTCCAAGACACTCATCTGTCTACAATAACCTACTGAAATATATTTAATGCTGAGGTTACCTGATCATCTCAACAATTCATATAGATAAAGCTACGTAATAACAATGACAGAACCAAGTTCAAGCCTCAAATTAAGACAAATCATAAGTGTAAATTATTAGAAGGGGCAATGCTGGTAAGTTTCAAAAGATGACATTTCATGCATATATCTTATAAGTCTGTCAACAGACATAGGTGTATCTTAAAAATTTTGAGATGCTTTTGCTTATAATGCTAACATCTATTTGAATAAATGAATCTAACTGCTTGAATGAACAAAAAGCTTCCCAGTCTTTTTTCAGGCACTTTCACTACCGTTCAAGTACGGATTCAAACTGATAAACTAGTAATAATGTTTAATATCATCAATCTGAATATGACAGAAAATACTGACCATCTATTTAGAATTATTCAGAATGAAGAAGATATTCAGAAATCTTGATATGAAGCTATACACATCCATAGTCTTCCTATGAGGAAGAAGTATTTAGTATGTGGTAGTATAACTGTATATACAATTTATAGCTTAAAGACATGACAGAATTTTTTCAGACTGGGCTACTACATTGATTTCTAAGAAAATCCAGTCAGCTTTTACATGGTTAAATATTTACATATAAAATATTACCAATTATACCAGTTACTTAGTGTATATTTTTGCTTCATCACTAAATATAGCCAAACACTGAGTTCCCTGAATAAAAAATGTACCCACCTCACAAAATAATGTAAGCTTGTCATCTGGTAAAAGACCATTAGCTTCATCAAGCAAAAAATCCCTTCGAATGAATTTTTTAAAACCCCAGTCTTTCCCTTGTACAAATCGATATGCTCTTTGGCTTTCTGGTGGAAAACAGAGTAAAAGTTTAAATAAACAAGTATCCAAGAAACATTTTGTTAATGAAAACACAGTTAAATGAATGTGCAAAAATAGGACTGGGCCAATACATCCATCATAAAAACTACAGATATGTGTGTTCATAGGTAAAATGTCAAAAGAGTTACATTAGGTAGAACCAGATCATTTCACAGCCTACCAAAAATTCTGGCCATTATCAATGAGCTCACTTTCAGATTCCTAGATATCTAAGTAGAAGAAAAGCCAGATCAAATGTCAAGGAGAAGGAAGAGATCTTTCAAACAATCTAAGCCCTTTAACAATGAAGTAGGATTTAAATACATTGGCATAGGCATACTATTCATCATCTAATATCAGAACCAACTTAGAAACATACCTCTCATTTCTTGTTTCTCCCTTTAAAAATGGATGCTCTATATCACCAGGGCATCCTGTAAGCTTTCCTGGGATAACCATCCCACTGATTTAAGTTGCATTAACTAGAGAAAAATCCATTAACTGGTAAAAAAGCTAAATAAAGTCCCCTATCATTTCTAGGTCTTCAGACATAGTCCCATTACCTCTAAAAACAATTTTCATAAAAGTCCAGAAGACGGTCTTAGTATGATTAGTAAAAGATTTAATAAATGTCTGAAGTAAATGTTTCAAATGTCTAACATACTGATTAATAACTGTATACTATGAAATAAACAAGGTCCTTTACAGAAGTATTCATTATCTGTTCTACAAGCTGAAGGTAGAAAACCAGTAATAAATTTAACTGAGATACTCCATGTTAAGGACTGAACATTTGTATCCCCTCAAAAGTTTCATGTTGAAACGCTATCCCCAAAGTGATGATATTAAGAGGCCAGTGACTGGGATTAGATGAGGTCATGAGGGTAGATACCCTCATGAATGTAAGGATTAGTGCTTCCTAGCCCTTTCCATCATGTGAAGACAGTGAAACACAGTCAGACTAGAATCTGACTATGCTGGCACCCTGATCTTGGATTCCCAGTCTCCAGATTTGTGAGAAATAAATGTCTGCTGTTTATAGGCCACCCAGTCTATGTTACTTTGTTATAGCAGCCTGAACTAAGATACTCGCCTGTCTTAAATGTCAGACAATGTGAAAACACATATGGAAACTATGTATTACCTTAGTAACAAAATATATTATTAAAGTGTGCATTTGGAGGGTTTTTTGTAGTGAGGTTAGTACTTGATTTTTGTTATTCACTTCCAGAAATCACTTCAAATTCAATGCAGCAGTTCATGATATATTTTCCTACTATGCACACTGTACATTTCCTACAATGATCTTCTGTTATGAAGTGCCAGGCTACATGGTTTCAGCTGGCTATAATTCAGAAGCTTCAACTGAATTTAACAGGTCCTGAGACTAAGAAAAACTGATTTCCTTTCAGTCAGTGTTCAGCCCACTGCTCAAAAAAATTCTAGTGACAAAATATCAGGACATTCAAACTCCTTTCACATTGTTCTTCAGATTTTATTACCTGGCAAAAATGGCAAGGAAGAAAAAGAAATGTTTCCTGAACACCTATTATATATGCCAGGCATTGAACCAGGCATCTTGCCCTGACAGTAGCTGTTTTTACAAGTGAAAAGTGAATGTCATTTTAGGGCATAAAAAATTTAAATTTTAATATGATTTAAAACTAATTTTACATGTCTTAGGAAGTCTAAGACTTAGTAAAACAACTGTAACTGTACTCTGGCATTTAAAATTAACAGCCAAAATGAAATGTTTTGGGTTAAGCAGATTTTAGTTTCAGGGAAAAAAATCCTAAGTTTTTCTAAGTAAAAGTGTGGAAGTCACAGTACATAATTACACAGAGACTTCTTCAAGTCAGTTTGGAAATCACTTACCCATTGCTTTTGTTTCTTCCCTTTTAGCGTTCAGAAGGGAAAATTTGAATTTTGCTCGAACTTCACTTTTTGGACAGCTGACTAAAAGCAAATATAAGGACAAGTAGTCTTTACTTTCATCATCTAATCCCTTTGGATTTACCCTCAGGCACCTAAAATAAAACAATAGGCTCACAAGGAGGAAAATAATACTTTAAACATTCAAGAGAGAGGCAATACTAAAATCATTTGTTAAATCTTTTTTTTTTTTTTAAGAGAACTGGTTTTAATTTAGAAGAGTGTCTTCAATTATCCACTAATATATATATATAATATATATATATATATATTTTACGAAGTAAGTTTATCTTATTTCTTTTATGTTAAATCTTAATAATAGAACAGCACTCCTGTCAACATCCTCACAGTTCTTTACAATTCTCTATACTATTAGGAACTTATTACAAATCTAATATAAAATTAGACAAATATCCATTCAGAAACAGTAACAACAAAATTTTAAAGTAGCTGATGATCATATCAAAAACAAATACCCAAAACAAACAAACATCTTACCATTTCATTTTGTCACTGGGGCTAGATGAGAATGTTGAACTTTTTAACACTTCACCCATTTCCTCTCGACAAAAACTGAAGTTATTAATGGTCCACATGTAGGAAAATTTTACAACTTTAACCTAAAACATTCAGAAAAGCACTTTTACAATGATGACTTTTACACTCCTGACCTGTCACATGTTAAACATTCTTTGACCCACTCTTCTAACACTTCTAGTAACAATGCCAAAGTGCTTCACAATGTTCTCAAAATGCTACACAATTTGTAAGTGACATAAAGTAAGACATTTTTAACAGCATGTACCTGTGTGTAACACCAGCTTTCTGCTATAGGACCAGTAGACATATCTCCAGAGAGAGGTGGGGTGGGTTCCCGAGACATTGCCACTTTATTGCAGTCTTCTAAGATTTATGCAATATCCCACACAGTTGAGTGCTTTACTACAAAGAAAAGAAGTTTCATTTACTAATCAAAAAGTTTAACTAACTGAATCAAGAGGGAAGAAGTATTTAAACAGTCATAAAACAATTACTTTCTCAAATTACATTATGAGGAAACGTGAGGATTTCATTTAAATTAATGAAAATTAATGTTTTAAGAAATAAAACCATAAAACTTTATGCCATATAACACTTGAAATCTGAATGAAGTTAATACTTACAGATTTTATTATACAAAGGCATGCTTTCCAAAACTGTCACAAATCAAAAAATAACATATAGCTTAATAGTAAGATCAAAAACATAAAATCACAAAATAACGTGGAAACTTGTAACAATTAATATTTGATTCACCTTCCTTCACCTTTCCGTTGACATATTTATGAAAATCAAAAGGGCTACAAAGTTAGAACAGCCCTGGAAACTACAAATATTACTCGTCTCTCAGACCCCCAAGTTCTGACCAACTAAAAACACAGAATGAGACATAACAGGCAATGCTGAAAAATTATATTCCACAGAAATCTACCTCTATCTCAGACACACAGGCTCTCAGATAAGACTTTGTCCCTATCAGAGTGTTCCCTACCAGATAATATGTACCGTCTCATAAAATTTCCTCCCAATTGGCTGTTCTTGAACTACATCTATTTGGACACATAATTAATCATCATAACCTGGCCAGGACATTAGTGACTAGAGGGTGCTTTGCAACTTGGAAAAGTCTATAAAAGAAAAGAGGCAAAATCCAGAAGAGCTACATAAGTATTGCACTTTGCAGGGGTATAGGTGGCGGTGTTGAGATTACATTCCAGTAAAAGGAATCAAGTCTGGAGAACACTGTTTTCATTTAAAAATAATTAATGAGTGAAGAAAAGCACATGAGTCCTATAAAAAGAAACTACTAAGGGAAAAAAAAGGAAGGACTTCATTCAAAATGTAGAAGAAAATATCTGCCCTGTGTCTACAACCAATGAAACAACAGTATAAGGAAACAAAGACTGAAGAAAGCTACCTGAAAGATACATAAAAACAAAAAGAGGGCTTCCCTGGTGGCGCAGTGGTTGAGAGTCTGCCTGCTGATGCAGGGGACACGGGTTCGTGCCCCGGTCCGGGAAGATCCCACATGCCGCGGAGCGGCTAGGCCCGTGAGCCATGGCCGCTGAGCCGGCGTGTCCAGAGCCTGTGCTCCGCAGCGGGAGAGGCCACAACAGTGAGAGGCCCACGTACCACAAGACAAAAACAAAAAAACAAAACAAAAAACAAAAAAGATATGAAAGGTATAAAAAAATGTCAAACTACAAATGAAGACGCACATTCAAAATCTGTACTAGAAACAAACAACAAAAATAAGAAACCACCACCAAGATTAAAAAAAAAATCACAAGTATCATGTTTGATTAAAGGAACAAAAATCAGGATGGCCCCATTTTTCTCCTCATTGTTAAATACATATAGAAAACAGGATTAATTACTACAGAGGTCTAAGGGGAAAAGGGCTGTAGCACAAAGATTCTGCACTATATCATGTTTCTACTCCTTTATGATTGGATTGTTTGAGTAATTCCCCCTTTCAATAATGGCATCTATACTAATATACTCACCCAAATGTATTTATGTAGGTTCCTCACATACAAGAGTTCCTGTCGCATCATGTACTTGCAGCATGACACCACTAGGCAATCAGCAAAGTAGCCAGGCAAGAAAGTCAGGAATGATAACATTGGGAACATTCTATGATGAGCACTTAAGTCACAATCAGCATTAAAGGAGAGGTGAAGAAAAGTGGATGTCCCTTACTTAAGTAAGCTAGAGGAGATAAATGGTTGAAAGAAGGAAGAGTGCCTCAAAGAAAAGTGAATACACAATTTAAAAGCATTGTATACTGTCACTTTAACAAGAATTATTCACTTCTACATAAAAATTAGGTACTGCTTGTAAGTACCTCCAGTTGTTATCTTCAGTAACTTTTATAAACCACAAATGGTTATTTACGTTTGAAAACAGAACAGCAAACAGGTAGTCACAACAGGGAGAACCAGAGTACCATCAAAGATGTTGGTTCCCCCTCCATATTTAACGGCTTTACTGAGGTATAATTTACATATCATGAAATTCACTCATTTTAAATGTACAGATCAATGATTTTTAGTGAATTTATACAGTTGTCCACTCATCAATACAGTTTTAGAGTACTTCCAGCAACCCAAAAGGTCCTTCCCACCCCCAAATTTAGGGAACCACTCATCTGCTTTCCATAGTTACACCTTATCTAGAAATTCCATGTAAACAGAATTGTACAACATATAGTTTTATGTGTGGCTTCTGCTCTTTCCCCTGAGTATGTATTACAGTTTCCTGTTTCTCTGCATATCTCATATTTGGCTGAAAGCTGGACATGTTAGTCAATACACTGTAGCAACACTGTAGAAGCCCCTTCCTCTTTTTTTTAATGGTGAAATTTGTGGCAAAAGGGAAAGGAAATGATGCTAATAAATAAACTACTATTTTACAAGTATAAAAATGCTGATGGTTCTCACTGACATCAAATAACACTAATTATATGGTTTCTGTCAACTAAGAATGATTTTAAAAAGATTCAGAAAAAGTTAGTGAGATGAAGAAGCAATTTGCAGAAGAATAGCTAAAAAGGGGGAGAGTGGAGTTTAACCTCCTTTGTAATCAGTTATAAAAGAAGCCATGGGGCTTCCCTGGTGGCGCAGTGGTTGAGAGTCCGCCTGCCGAAGCAGGGGACATGGGTTCGTGCCCCGGTCCGGGAACATCCTACATGCCACGGAGTGGCTAGGCCTGTGAGCCATGGCCGCTGGGCCTGCGCGTCCGGAGCCTGTGCTCCGCAACGGGAGAGGCCACAACAGTGAGAGGCCCACGTACTGCAAAAAAAAAAAAAAAAAAAAAAGAATCCATATCATTTTTCATCTATAGTATTTATTTTCAAAGATAATTTTAAACTGTCAATTCCTATAGCCAGGAAAACTGCAGAGAAGCAGATATTACTTTACTGGCAAATCTTTTCTGTAGGACAATCTTACAATTAGTATCAAAAGAAATTTTTTTTCTCAGATTCATCCTAGAAATTCATCTTGGGACAAATATCACAACTGTGGGAAAAGATAACTAAGTATAAGCGTAGTATGTTTTCGTGATATATTTATATACACAGAACTATGCAACCATTAAGAATGTACTTAATTTTCTTAATGACAGGTAAAGTATTCAAAATATGTTTAAAGTAAAACATTAAAAAGAGTATGCCTTAAAGGACCTCACTTTAAATAGCACATACAGGCATAGCTCAAGATACTGAGGGTTCGGTTCCAGACCACCACAGTAAGGCGACTATCACAAAGTGAGTCACATGAAATTTTTGGTTTCCCAATGCATATAAAAGTTATGTTGACACGATGCTGTAGTCTATTAAATGCTCAATAGCATTACGCCTAAAATATGTACAGACCTTAATTAAAAGATACTTTATTGCTTAAAAACATAACCATCACCTGAGCTTACAGAGAATCATAATCTTTTTGCAATAGTAACATCAAATATCACTGATCAGATCACCATAACAAATGAAAAAGTTGGAAATATTTTAAGAATTACCAAAATGTGACACAGAGACATGGCATTAGTAAATGCTGTTGAAAAAATGGCACTAATAGACTTGTTTGATGCAGGGTTGCCATAAACCCTCAATTTGTAAAAAGTGCAGTATCTGTGAAGCGCAAAAAAGTGAAGCACAATAAAACGAAGTATGCTTATAGAGTTATTACAAGTATGGGTGCATAAAGAAAAACAGACTGGCACATAGACACACTGAGTTGAACTGATAACGCTGCTAAGATATATATCTAAGTATTAACAGAGGCTACCTCTGGGTGGTGAGATTTTTGCTTATTTTTATTTGTTTATATTTTCTAAGTATTTTATTATGTTTTAATTAACAGAGATACAAGTTATTTGCATGCTTACATTAGCCCACAGAAAATGTGTGTGTGTGTGTGTGTGTGTGTGTGTGTGTGTGTGAGAGAGAGAGAGAGAGAGAGAGAGAGAGAGAGAGAGAGAGAGAGAGATTCCAAGTAGTAGACATTGAGAGACATTAGGTCAAAGAAGATGGTAAGTCAAAGAAAACTTTAATCATAATCTTTAATACTTAACTTTCTATAAGATGCTAATTTAACACTAATAAAATAAATAAAACATAAGTTTAAAGAATCTAGAGTAAAAAACAAAAGTTCTTTAATGCCTCTACAAGAGTTTTCACCTTGCTCAAGTGTAACTCACAACATAATCCATATATATATATATATATATATATATATATATATATATATATATGAACCAAGTAAAAGGTTACAAAGATTTTTGTCTTTTTTCCAACTACTTCAAATGCTGTAGTTATGTAATGGGGGTATGAAGAATGCTGGTGAGCAGACTGCATTTGTGCATACTTACAAGACATTATGAACCTTGTTTATTCCTCCACAACTCTATGAGATGGATGTTAATAACCCCAATGAGATGGATGTTAATAACCCCACCTTAACCATGAGAAAATGACTAGACAAGTTAGAAAGCTTACTTTAGACTTTATTAACCAGAAAGTGGCTGAACACAAATTTGCCTGGCTCCAAAGTCTATACTCTTTCCATAGAATAATGCTGCTGCTCCTGATATAATGGAGCTGAAACAGCCCTTAACCTGTCTGCTTCAACTCTTACTTTACAGTTGAGGACCAAGATGAGAGAAATGGACTAGAATAGAAAAATAAACTGCCCACGTTTACATTGCTGGATAAATATCAGAAGAAGGACAAAGATCTCCTAATGTCCATTTCAGTGTTATTGCCAGTATTCTATTTTCTTTTTCTTCTCTTCAAATGTTAAAAAAAAAAAAAGATGGTAGACCATCAACTACATTCAA